AAGGACAGCCATGCCCCTGGAGCCAGGTCTCTACTTATCTGTAACTAGAAAGTTCATGAACACCAACCTATTGTTGTCACTGTTATTTATTTATTGTTGGTACCAGAGTTTAAATCCAAGGTCTCGTGGTTGCTCAGCTTACTTACTTGTGTGATTGGTACCCTACCCACTTGAGCCACCCCAGCAATTTTTGGCTGGTTATTTTGGAGACAGGATTTAGCAAACTTCTGCCCAGGCTGGCTTTGAACTGTGATCCCCCAGGCCTTAGCCTCCTCAGTAGCTAGGATTACAGGTGTGAGCCCAGCACCTGCCCTCACTGTAGGCAGCCCCCGGCCACTGTGAAGCAGCCAGAGCCACCCTCCAAGATGCAGTGTGCACGTGCTTGCTTTTTCCCATCCTCCAACCTCTGGGCAAAACAGGTAAGCCGAGTGTATTTTCCCAGCAGGAGTTTGGATTCTGACCCTGGCTCTAAGCTTAAGACTGAACAAAAGGCCCAGCTTTCAATCAGGGAAGACACATGACCAGAGTTGTAAGGAAGGTCTTGGATCAGGGACAGGAGTGTGGTGCGACGGAAGGCCATATGCACGGGATGAGGGAGCCGCTCTTGGGAGATCAGCTCTGGTGGTGTCCTGGGCTCGACTCCTAGCACGTCCCTGCAGGCTTGGCTGGCCCAGCCCCTCCCTTGCTCTGAGTGAGGAGACACAAGGAGCAGAGCTGGTCTGGAAGTGTCTTGCTAGGAAGTGGTGACAAGGCGGGGAGCAGAGTCTAGAGTGGACACACAGGAGGACAGAGAGGAGGGCTGCAGGTCTACTGCTGTCACGCGGCACAGAGCGGCTCCAGCCCCAGCCTCTTGCTATCTCGAGACATGAAACACTCCACCCAATGTTTTAACACACACGATCACACCGATGCCCCTTGTGTGAAATGTTGGGGTGCTGTGGGGGAGGGGAGGAAGTGCAGCATGCAGGGCGAGGAGTCCATGCAGGAGGGCAGTGAGCGTGTGGGCAGCAGGTAGCAGTAGCCAGCCAGGGTCTCAGTAGACAATGTGCGTGTCGGAGGCCAGGGGCTCTCCTGCCTGCCTCTGGGGGTGTGGAGCAAGCAAGGCTGTGGTGGGGTAGGAGGTGGGAGACAGCTGAAGGCAAAAAGCTTTGAATGTTCAACAGGACCCGAGGACCGTGTGGATGCTGGACAAGGCACACAGGGGCTGGGCACACGGGGGGGGGGGGGCGTGTTGCGTGTGGAGGGGTGACAGGATGACACTTGGTGGCTGGGTGAACAGTGAAACAGAGCAGCTAACAGGCTGGGAGAAAGAAGGACAGAGCGCACGGCCATTCACCCTGCGCTGACTGCCTGGTGTGTGCAGGGCCCTGAGGACTCACTCCAGACCCACGGAGCCCAGACTGGAGAGACTTCTGCACCCAAGCAGCGAGAGGCCCTGAGAGTCGAGCCTGGGCTTAAAGACTGCGCCGTGCTGCCCAGCTCCCAAGAATGGGAAGAGGCTGGGGCTTGGAGTTCAAACTCATCTGAACCTTGAAATGTAGGCGCTCTTCTGGGTAAGAGGAACAGGGCAGCAGGCTGGAGAGGCCACAGAGGCTTCCCACCCTCCCGGGGACCCAGGAAAGCCAGGCAGACCTGGGAAGCAGTGCCCTGGGAGGGAGGCGGATCTGAGAAATGCCGAGTCCAGTCCCTGGGCCCCTGGGCTCGGGCCACACTCAGCAGCCGCTGTGACGTAGCTCCACTCAGGACAGGGAGCCAGCAAACATGGGCGAGTGTGGGAAGGAACCAGTGAAGGCAAGGGCAGCGGGGACCTACTTTCCCATCAGGTGTGGGCCCGTCTCTACCTCCCCCTCCCAGGCCAGGCCCCTTTCCTGTTGTACTTCTGTTGTCTCTTTCTTCTCATCTCCCCCTTCCTGGTGGGGTTGTACCCCTACCTGCGTGCCTGTGGCACTTGCAGCGGCTGGGGCAGGGAGAGAGCAAGCATGCGTGCCTGGGGCGTCTTCAGTGGTGGCCCTGGCAAGGCATGGGGGCCGAGAATTGCACAAGGCCTTCTAGGAAGAGCACATGTGCCAACGCACAAAATCCCTGGTCCAAGCTCTCAGGAAAGTGATGCCGCCCTACTCACAACACGGGTCTGGGATGACACACACTTTGTTTTCTTACCCCTAACATTGTTTTTTAAAACATGGCTGTTATTACTGGCCAAAAATGGGATCTCAAAATGGGATCTGCTGGCAGTATTGGTTATCCAGAGTTATTCTGCAAGCCAAGATGGCAAAGGAACCTAAGAAGAGATTTCTAGCATCCTGGCAGGTCTCCTGGTAGTGGTAGCACCCATGACTTTCCACCGGAGACGGAGGCATGAGAACACAGTCTGGGATGGAGGGGTGAGATTCCTAATGTTGGCTCATTGGTGCCTGGAGTGCACTAGCCGCTTGTGAACCAGACTACTGCCCATGTGAACCAAACCTCAAACTCTAAAGACGCGCTTGGCGAGAGCTCCACACAGGACGTGGCTAGGACATGGCTGCGGCATGAGGTGTGGAGGGACAGGAGAAGGTGGGCAGTCCCGCAGGTGGGGCCACTGTGAGGACGTGCCAGGTTGCTCAAGGGTAGCAGAGCCTTGAACGTTGCATCAGGAGCATTCTGGGCAGAGGAATGACTGGCACCACCGCAGAAGGCTCCGGCAGCACAGGGCTGGTGGGGGATGGTAAGGCTATCCCTTGTCTAGCAGACCACGCCAGGCCCACAGTCAGGAGTGACCGGCCACCCACAGAGCCTCCGTGAAGGCTATCCCCGACTCTGGCCAGCCTTCCTGACCTCTGGTGCCCATCGCTCTCCCAGTACCTATCCTTAATGAGCTGCTTTCAACACCCTCAAGGACACAGGTCAGGTTCACATCTCCCAGACCAATGCCCACGGCATGAAAGAAACACAGAGCAAGGTTGCTCCCAAGTTAGCAGCATCTGCTAGCACCGTGGACACCATGGGTGGCGTGAGGAGCGCATATGACCGCCCATCCCGTGACCTGTTCTCAGGCTCAGGATGGAGCCTGAAGCCGCTAAGCTCAGTCTTCAGATGTGCATGCGGGTGGAGCGCAGGGGCCTAAGAAGGTGGGGGAGGGCAAGCTACTGTCCCAGTCTTTTTTGTTTTTGGTCCATTGTGGGGCTTGAAAACTGGGCCTGGGCGCTGTCCCTCAGCTCTTCAGCTCAAGGCTAGCGCTCTACCACTTGAGCCACAGCACCACTTCTAGCTTTTTCTGCTTATGGAACTGAGGAATCGATCCCAGGGCTTCATCTTCATACATACTAGGTCAGCACTCTACCACTGAGCCACCTTCCCAGCCTTGGAAAGTCTTTGACTGGCTTTCCCTGCCCTCTGCTTCCCAGAAACCAACTGACCTTCAAGCCACGGCTCAAGATCCGCCCCCGGGGCTACCCTCCCTCAGCCCTTGGGTGAGCCCACGCTTCTTTCCACCCATTGAATTGGAAGCCCCTCAGGTGGGGCTCAGACAGAGGGTGTCCCAGGACTAAGCTCATCTCTGGGACTCTGGGAAGAGTCAGAGATTACCGACCCAGCGCCCACTTTAGTTTATGTTGTCCAGTGCCAGTTAACTCCTCTACCAACTTCATCAATAGATCTTGGAGAAGTTACAGGTCGCTACGCCAAGAACCACTTGACATATCCAGCCTGGCCTGATGGCCCAGACCCAGGGACACAGGGCAAAGAGACTCAGGAACGAAGGGCAGCTCTGATCATAATCCAAAGCCCCAAGTCTGGGCTCATTTTAGACCCGAGCAGAGACCCCAGGAAAGATGTCGGTGTTACACTAGCACACAGACATCCTCTGCTCCAAACATCAGGCCGTGACCCACAGCTCTGAGGCTCTGTCTTTTTAACAAAGCCCAGCAGCACCTTCTTCAAATGACCTCACTACAGGCAGCCGTCTTGGCCTTGGGCACTGGATTGCACTAGACAAAATCAAACCAGGGACCTGGGCAGGTTCTAGGTCATCCAGTCCAAGCCTGTCACTTAGGAGCAGGGGTGGTGGTGGTGCAAACAGACTGAGCCAGAATGAGAAGCAGCGGAAGTCAGGACACCAAGAGCACGCTTTCTAAGCTTGCCTCACGCGCATCCTCCCGTCTCACGCAAAGCAGGTACAATCCCAGGGGAGAGACCCAAAGGCCACGCGGATTTCCAGGGGACAGAACTGGCTCTGCTCCCTGGGCCTGAGAGACTTCAGAAGGAATGCAGAGAGAACGGTGGCGGTCTCGGCTCACAAAGCCGTGCCTCCTCCTGGCCAGCAGAGAGCTGCCTACAGGCTGGCCTGTGCTGGGTGCCAGCAGCACTTCCTGTGAGGAGCAGGGTCTCCATCTGGGCAGCCCTGGGCCTTCACTCAGGGGCTGCCATGGAGTGAGGTGTCAGGCGCCTGGCATGCTTCCATGTGCTCTCCTGGAGCCCTGCCAACTACCAGGAGAATGAGCCCAGGCCGGCCTGATGGTGGTGGCAGACACATCGGCCCAACTGCCCCGGCTAAGGTCTAGAGATGTCAGCCTTGGCCCGAAGAGCACAAGCGTCTTTCCAGGGCGGCCATCCTGTCCTAAGCCAAGATCAGTGGTGACTGTTTTAGGCCATGAAGCTGTGGGGCGGTCGGTTCTGTGGTGGAAGCTGACTGACATGATCTGCAGACTGCCCCGCACTGGGGACGCAGCGCTGGCTGCTGGCCTAGCTTCCCACGTGAGGACTCCCTCCTCATCACAGCGCTTGAGCGTGCAGACAGCTCTGCCCTTCACGCCAGCATGCCACACGTGGCCACCCACGTCCCTTACCCCCCCTGGGCAACCTCAGTGAGCCCACAGCTCCTCCCCTTCCCTGTGGCCACGCAGGGTCTGCAGCGGCGGGGTCTGCATGAGCATGGAGCAGTGGGACCCACGTTGGGAGGCCCCACGGCAGAGGGTGGAGTGTTCTCATGTTTCCAGGTGGAGCGGCGGGGAGCGACTCACCGAGGGCACGGGCAAGCTGCCGTGCCGGCTGAGAAAGGAGTTAGACACGGACACACTGAGGCCCTGAGTGGCACTGCCGTCCTCGGGGGTGAAGGCCACTTTAGTTTGCTGGACACAGTAGGAGACAGAGGAGAAGGAAGAAGCAGCAAAGGAGGCCTGCTGGGCAGAGAGAGGGTGAGGAGAAGGCAGGGAGAGGGAGAAAGCAGAGAACAGTCAGCGCGATGGCCAGAGGCTGAAGAGGCTCCTACCTAATGCTGTTCAGGGACGGTCTGGAGAGGGACAGCTGCGTGGCTCCTTTTGGACGTAGAAACACCTGCCAAGGGGGCCTGAGGGAGTGGACGTTCCCCTCCCCCACGAGAGCGCTGAGTGAGCCCGCAGGCAGATGGCAAGCTGGGAAGGCCCGCGCCCGGGAAGGAGCAGCTGCGTCACCGTCCCTGACTCCGCGGGGCTCACACTTGGGGAGCAGCCTGCTGGGTGGGGATCGGGCCTGCCAATGGCCACCTGTTGGTCCTGGGCACTCTCTAAAGACCTCAGCATTCAGGACTGCCTTGGGTAGTGTGGGGCAAACTCTGGCTGCTCTCGTGTGGAGCTGCAATTCAGTGAAATGGCTCAAGAGCAGTTGGACTCCTCCTGTTTGCACTGTACACAGGCTGACAAGTGTGAGCAAGTATCACCAGCATTTTCATGTGATTTGAGGGCCTGTCACATTTGGCCTGGGCCTGGGCTGGAGCTAGGCTTGGTTCCCAGGTCTCTGACTAGCTGTGGCCTGGGGAGAAGCCCTCCTGGTTCTTGGTCTGGGTTTATTGTACCAGGAGCTGTGGTGAGGGCCATGCGCTGGCTGGGCAGGCCTCTGCCAGGCGGCCACGTGCCAGCTTGTAGTGTGGTACAAAAGGCCAGGACACTCCCTGGGATGGGTCTGGGGCCACGAGCTCATGGGGGATCTGTCCCCAAATATGCAGAGCGGGGACTCAGTACATGCGAGGTGTCCCTACACCTCGTAAGCTCTCAGTGAGATTTCCACCGACATCTCAGGGGAGGGCCATAGAGAGGCCTGTGTTCCCACACTGAAGACCCATTGGTGGGCTATTTTCTGAGACCCCCGAATGCAGCTCATTCGGGAGCCCAGTCCCAGCTCAGTCCCTCATTTCTAGACAAGGCTGCCTCTGTCCTGGCCAGCTGTACTTTTGGGGAGGAGCAACATAGCCCGTTGGGTCAGCCAGGGCCTACTGAGGGTAGATGGTTTGGAATTCCCAGGACCAGACGGAGCCCGGGGCTGTCTTTCCTCTAGTGGGCAGCTGCCTTCCACAATGCCAGAGTAGCACCTTCGTGTCTGCCTACAAAATGATGGAGAATGGCCTAGCTGGCCACATCAGGCCCTCTCAATAGAGAGTTACAAGCCTGGTTAGCACTTAAAATGGTATGTGCAGTTCTGAAAGGGCCGAGACCTCTTTTTGGGAGTGTGTGGCTGCACGTGGCCTGGGTCCCCAGCCTGGTGAGAGCCCACCAGGTCTGCGAAGGGAGCAGATCAAGGATGGACGCATCCATCCATACACTGGTTTGCTAGCCGGTGAGTGCCTGGGTAGTGCCCCAAGCAGGACAGGCCTGCCATCAGCCTGCGCCTCGCTTCCCTCCCCACACAGAGCTGTGTTCGTGGAGTACGGGGGGTGGGGGGGTCTGTCTGCTGCACCCACAGTGCCATCTAGAGTGGTTCTGTTCAGTGGAGCTCATTCTCACGGGCCATCCCTGCCCAGGGCTGGCGTGCCAGTCACTCCCTACAGGCAGGCCCATCACAGAATCCAGTCCACAGACAGCCAGCCACAGACTATATACCCGCACTTTGATTGAGTCCCTCTTTCTGTGGGGTTTACGTTGAAGCCAAAGAAGAAAGAAAAAAAAAGTATAAGAGCTGGTCAGCAGAGAAAGCAAACGTTCTGAGCATAAGCCTGTCCCAGCTGGGTGGGCTGCTCTGGAACTCCCTGGGGAGGGGACAGGCTGCCAGTACACATCCCCAGAGGAGGTGAAGGTGCCCACGAGGGACACAGTGCCATCCACACCCAAGCCCTGCACTGTGCCAAGGACCGAGAGGACTAGCCCCGCCGCTGTGGGGATGGCCTTAGCTACCGATGCCAGTCAGGAATGCCGGTTTGGAAGGCCACGTGCCAGGAAGGGGCTGCTTACCAGCTGCCGCTGCTTAGGGGGGAGGGCGGGTGGTGGGGCCAGCTCCTGGGCAGCGTCCCCGGCGCCAAAGGAGTCGCTGAAGCCATAGACCTCCATGAGCATCTTGTTCTTCTGCTGGTAGATGTGCTCGCTCTGCGGCGTCTGGTAGAACACGGACGGCTGCGGCTCTGAGTAGTCCTCCAGCAGCTGCATGTAGGCCAGCACTGTGGGACAGAGGGTGGCCTGGTGACCTCTCATAGGAGTACAGCGCGGGACCTCCGTGCCCCGTGTCCGCGTGTGCACACTGTGGAGGGGCCAGGCAGAGCTCCGAGTCTCAGGGCAGCACGCTAGGCCGGCTATCCTGCCAGGGTGGACATTTGCCAAGCCAGTGCCCTCCCGTGCCCCGTGGGTGCTAGGCGGTGATGGTGGTCAGGAGAGGCTCATCCACGGTAGCAGGCTCCCCTTTGCTGGGGGGATTCACCACAGGAGGCTTCCTGTGCAGGGGGCGAGCAGCTATGGGGCATTTCTGTACTTTTCCATTTCATGTTGCTGTGAATCTAAAACTGCCCCGAAAATAGCGCATTTAAAGCATACTTCACACCTGTAATCCTAGCTACCCCACAGGCTGAGATCTCGGGATTGAAGTTCAAAGCCAGTGTAGGCTACAGAAAGTCTGCAAGACTCTTACCTCCAATTCACCACCAGAAAACTAGCAGTAGAGCTGTGGCTCAAGTAGGAGAGAGCTAGCCTCGAGCAGAAAAGCCTAGGGACAACACTCAGACCCTGAGTTCAAGTCCCATTACTGAAAAATGAACAAGAAACAAAAGCGAGTACACAGGGCACCTTGCCCCCTGCCTGAAAACCCTGGGAGGTTCTAACCATGCTAGGCAGCACCGTTTTGGGGGACTCTGGTAGCTGGGGCACATCCTCAACTCTCACTCTCCCTAGCCCTTGGGCTCAGCGCGGGCTACACTACCTCACAGGTGTCCAGAGCATGCTCCTGATGCTCCTGCTGACTGTGCCTGGGGTCCCATTGTAGCCCCTTCCCACCAGTGTTTCTTCTCAGTCCCCTCCCCGCACTGAGCCTAGGCTTATTTACCTAGTGTTTTCTGAGCACCTACTACACCGCTAGTTGGAGTAAGAGAGTGCGAGGGCTGGCAGTCTGGGTCCCTGGCTGTGAGGGCTTCATGCTCTCCTGGGACAACAGGAAACGGACCCGTGCATGGGGTAGCAGTGAGGAAAGAGGAGACATGGGGAAAAAGGTAAGGTGGACACGGATGCCACTGTAGACCATGGAGAGACTGCAGAAAGGCTGGAGAGGAACCTCCACCCTGAACCCGCAGGCTACACAAAGGTGGAGGCCAGAAGAGGGCAGGTATCATGCACAGCGGGCAGGAAGGCGGAAGGGGGCCTGGCAGGGCTGTGCTGGCCAGGCAGGGCAGTGGGCTTTGTTCTGACATGGCAGTCACTGCAGGCTCCACTGAGTGTGCCCGGGACTGGAGCCCTGAGTGACTCTGGGTTGTGGGGCTGTTCTGGTGAGGGGCTGTGGTTCAGACTGTGTTCACCTAAGGGCTGAGGCTCTGGAAGGGCTCCACACTAGGTCACGGGTGTGCCATCAACGTTTGAAGCTCTACACATGGTGCACACGCCCCTGCCAGCATCCCTAGGATGGTGCCAGGGAACCACCAGGGACGCAGTGATACAGGGGTGCAGGCCAGACCCGGGGCCCCCCCCAGTGAGGGGCAGTGCAGGGAACAGTGCAAGGGCGAGACAGGAAGCGCTCCGTCCACAGACACATCCGCCCTGCCATCATCCATACAGATGGCTCTGAGGAACCGCGTCTCTGTGGAGCCGACTGTCATAACCCAGCCCCGGGGCAGGCCAGCGCCTCGCCTGGGCAGGGGGGCAGAAAACAACAGCAGGGCGGCCCCACCTGGGAGGTGACAGGGCAGAGAACAAAGAGCTCCGCTGTCACACGGGGTGATCTCATCCTCGCGGGGCCTCTCCACACGGCAGGTGCAAAGCCCTCGGCCTCACGTGGGTGTGGGTGCCAGGGGAGCGCTTTGTGCCTGACTATGGGGCTAGCTGGCTGCACAGCCTGGAGGCTCAGCGTCTGCACGGCGGCCCTTCCTCTAACACCCAGCAACACGCAGCAACATGCAGGCTGCACGCGGCTCTGATGCTGTCCACAGGCTGGCATCCTGGTACCTGTGTCCTTGCTCTCTGTGCACTGAGAGGCTCCTGGCCAGGGACGATCCCTCTGCACATATGGGGGAGCAGGGCTGGGGGGGGGTCCCTGGACATCTGCTTCAGCGACTCACAAGGGAACTAATGCACTGATAGCGGGGAAGGAAGGGGACTCTGGGTTTGGAAGCAAAGGACCTGTGGTAGAAGCAGGAATGAAGAGATCTTTCCCCTCAGCGCCCCTGCGGGGGGAGCTGGAATTCAAGCCCGTGTTGCAGGGAACCAGAAGTCCAGGTCTAGCTTGTAGGTGTTCTCTGCTGGGATCACAGTGGTGATGTGTGGTTAAGTTCTGCTTACGTTCAAATACCTGCCTCCATTCACACACAGGCTGCCACAGCGCCGTGTGGCAGGACATGCATTCCCTCACCACCCTGCAGCCCACACGGTCCCCCAGCCGCCATGTAAGGAGGAGGCTCTCAGCTCTGGCGGGGGATGGGGCTTGGAGGACCTGCAGCCTCACCCTGCCTGAGAGGACGGGGGTCGCGCTCCGCGAGCTCTCAGCGAACGCTTACTGTTTTTGTTTTTCTTCTCTGGTAGAGGCGGTGGCTTCTCGGGGTCACCTGCTGATTCTGGAGCAGTGAAGCCCGCGGGCTGGAAGGGGAGGACAGCGGCGAAGGGCGGGTAGGGGCCGGGCGGGCCGGGGGGCTGGCTCTGCAGGTCGTCCTCGGAGAGGTTGTCGTACTGCGAGGGGTGCCGCTCGTAGGGCGTCCTGCTGCCGGAGCCGTCCGGGCCCTGCGAGGCGGCGCTGCGGCGCTTCTTCTCGGGAAGGGCGGGTGGGGTGTCCATCTGCTGCCCTGGGGCCAAGGGCACCTCAGGCTGGGGACAGCCCAGGGGCAGCTGGAAAGGGTGGCCAAGAAACGGAGATCCCGACTCCCCCAAGGACTCTGGCAGTGGGCTAAGGTGACAGGCTGCTTGCTGAGGTATCTGGTCCGCGTCGGAGAGGTCTTGCTGGAGGAATTCGTAGTCAGGATCATAGTGATCTGGAAGGCGACAACGGAGTGTGTTACTTAGGGCCTGGGACAAGGGCCGCCCCTTCTTGCTCACCCCAACCTGGCTCTCAGAGGGAGGTAAGACTGGCTTTACTTATCAGTCTTCACTCTAAGAACAGGAATCAAACAGACCGGATGCGGCTGTGGCTAGACTGCTCTGGAGCCTTCCTATGCATAGGCCCACCTTTCACTTGTATACAAGGGCTGGAGATGGAGCCAGGGTGGTGAACACACGGCGCAAGCATCTCGGCTCTGAGCCTCATCCCCAGCCCTTTCCTGTATTAAAAAAAGTTCTTCCTAAAGAAACCCCAAACTGGGCTGGGAAGGTAGCTCAGTGGTAGAGAGCTTGCCTTGCATGCCTGAGGCCCTGGGTTCGATTCCTCAGTACCATATAAGCAAAGAAGAAAAAAAGCCGTAAGTGGCGCTGTGGCTCAAGTGGTAGAGCGCTAGCCTTGAGCTGAAGAGCTGAGGGACAGCGCCCAGGCCCAGAGTTCAGGCCCAATGACCGGACCCCCCCCCCCAAAAAAAAAGAAACCCTAAACAGCAACAAATAAACAAACAGTCATGAAATTAAAAATGCCAGAATCTGCTCTCTCTGTTCACATCTTCAGGTATTTTCCTAAGTTTCCCCACAGCACCCATGGGATTTCTTTTCTTCTTTTTTTTTGGTCAGTCATGGGGCTTGAACTCGGGGCTTGGATACTGTCCCTGAGCTTTTTCACTCAAGGCTAGTGCTTTACCATTTAGAGCTTCTGGTTCTCTGGGTGTTAACTGGAGCTAAGAATCTCAAAGACTTCCCTGCCTGGGCTGGCTTTGAAGTGCAATCCTCAAGGATCTCAGCCTCCTGAGTAGCTAGGATTACAGATGTGAGCCATGGTGCCAGCAAGATTTCTTTTCTTTAACCTAATTTAAGGCCATGTAAATGGTCTCCTCCACTCATCATCATAACCGATATTTAGCTATGGATTACCGCCCCAGGACGTGTCTGATCCCCATTTGCGAGCTGGCAGCATTCCCAGATGGCCGCCCCAATGCCTCTGTGCCTGGCCTCCCTGCTGAGAAGCCTTGCACACATCTGTGAGTGCTCTCAGCACGCTTCCCAGAAGGGAAACAGCAGGTTCACAGGGCACAAACAGCCTAGTGCTCCCGGGCTGATGACAAACTGCCCTGTGACATCGATGGGTCCACGTAGCCAAGGCCAGCCCTGACCACCGACGGCAGCAGACCAATCCTCTGTCACCTCTGTCCCATGCTGGCAGGTGCCCGGCTCCTCTCGGAGGGGCAGGCTGCCCACAGGGACAGGAGTCACTTGAGCAGCTATCCGAAGGCTCCTTGGAAGCAGACCTCACCCTCAATCTGCAGAAGAGGAAACCGAGGCTCCCAGTGGCTGGGGTCACCCAGCCGGTGCCTGACGCCCAGCTGGGGCTCAGGCAGGCCAGATCTGCTGGGCAGGGAGGGAGGCGGCTGCCAGGGCTCACCTAGCGTTTCACAGCTTGTGTTCCGGGAGCCCTGCCCGCTGTCCCTGTCCAGGGAGGAGAGCTGCTCGTCCGATCGGCTGAGCTTGCCCGTGCTGCTGCAGGGGGACAGGCGGGGCGACTCGCCGCCACACGACCGGCTGCCTCCGGACAGGCGCCTCTGTGCGTAACAGTCCATGTCGAAATCCTCGGAGAAGAGGAGGATAAGCTCAGCGCCTCTGGGGCAGGGCGGCAGAGGGCAGGTGGGACAGGACGAGGGCCAGCGAGAGGCTGTCCCGGAGCCTGCACGGAGGCCGCACAGGGCTGGAGTGTGCGGATGCGGGGGGCCCTGGAGACGGCTCCAGCCGCCAACCCCCGGCCTGAGCCCTTCCTCCCTCCTCCCCGGCTTCTGAGGGTGCTGCAGTACCTGTCTGTTGATTCCCACGGGCAAACTGGAGCCACTGGTGGCCCGGCTCATGGGGGCCACCACGGCCACTCGGGTAGGGGATGGAGCCGACTGTCTTTTCTTAGGTGGCAATGCTGGGGGACTGAAAGAGACAGAACATCCTGGCAAACCAAACACTGCACATAGGGACACTTTAGAACCACTGTAGGCAGAATGTGGGTGACTTTTATTACGACTCCCCACCTGCGATTCTCATTCTTGACTTCCCATCTACTCCCCTCCTGCCAAAATAATATCTGTATCTATAATGTCAAGCATGAAAACTAGAAAGACCCCTTTTTTCCCTTTCATAGTAAATGATACCAAGTTTCACTTTAGTGACACCAATAGTCAAGCTGTAAGGAGCACTTAGAGCATGTGCAAGGGCCCTGGGGCAGAGCATCTAAGGAAGCAGGGCCTGAGTACCCAGCATGTGCCCCAGTTACGCCCCCTTCCTTGTGCTCATTCTACCATCTCATCCCCACATCATGTACAAGTAGCGAAGGCCCTGGGAGAGGGTTACCTATTATCAACCACCCGGATGCCAGGCAAGGGGGGCTTAGGGGGCGCGGCCTCTTCGTCGGCTGAATCTGGGAGTAACTCTGTGGAGGTCGATGCACTTGTTGCCTTGTTTAGAATCTCCATTTCTCGGTCTGTCAGGGGGAGTTCGGGCTGACTGGAGAGACAGCAAGAACTTGGTTATAGAAGGCTCAGAGCATGAGTGGGCAGGCGGGGAGGGAAAGGGGTGTCACACAGAGTCCCAGAGTCCCCGCTGCATTTAACCACTGCAAACTACCAGAGCTTGGCCAGGCCCGTGCTGGAAACCCCAGTTTCCTCAAATGAAATCGGAAGGCTTGACTAGAGGTTCTCCAGGTGTGCTAAATGCTCCAAGTTCACATTTTCTCTTTCTACCAGGAGCTGATAGCAGGAAGTAATGCAAGGCCCCACCGCTGTCCACGCGGCCTCAGATAATTCTCTTGACAAAGGTAACATCATGAATATTGGTGGTCCCAGAGCCCACCTCTGTAAAGGGGCCGCACTGGCTGTCAGCGACCCCTCCACGTGGCCGCTGCAGTGGTGGGGCTGGTCAGCACTCACCTGTCAGGCTTGCCGGCTGGGGAGCTGGGCTTCACAGGGCTGGTTGGAGACGGCCGTCCCTGCTTCTCGATGGTCAGCCTGACCAGCTCCTGCGCCCCACACGGGAGAAAGGCATTGACCCCCAGGCAAGTGCTCCCCTGCCCTCCACCCCCATACCAGCTTTACATGCCATAGGTCACTGGCAGCTTGCCCAAGTGACCCTGCCCTCCAAATATGCCAGAGGCTGGGAAGGTGGCTCAGTGGTAGAGCACTTGCCTTGCATGCATGAGGCCCTGGGTTCGATTCCTCAGCACCACATAAGCAGAAAAGAAAAGCTGGAAGTGGGGCTGTGGCTCAAGTGGTAGAGTGCTAGCCTTGAGCTGAAGAGCTGAGGGACAGAGCTCAGGCCCAGAGTTCAGGCCCCACGACCGGACCCAAAAAAAAAAAAAAAATACAGCCATTTATAGTGGCGCTGTAGCTCAAGTGGTAGAGCGCTCGCCTTGAGTTGAAGAGCTGAGGGACAACGCCCAGGCCCAGAGTTCAAGCCCCACGACCGACAAAAAAAAAAAAAAAAAAAAACTATATAGAGCACTCAAAAATGCCAGAGCCTCACGCACGACACTTCCTCTTGGGCGGAAAGTGGTAAACCCCACATTCACCTAACGGCTACCCGACTGCCAAGTCAAACTCCAGGAGAGCACATACTTGGCAGCGTGGTAGTGGCAGCATTTTTAGTTTCCTAAAATTCCTTTTTTTTCTTCTGTCAGTTGTGGGGCTTGAGCTCTGGGCCTGGACGCTGTCCCTGAACTTTATTGCTCAAGGAGAACACGTTCTACCACTTGAGCCACAGTGCCACTTCAGGTTTTCTGGCGGTTCATTGGAGATAAGAGTCTCATGACTTTGCTATGGAGCTAGCTATGAACTGCGATCCTCAGATCTCAGCCTCCTGAGCAGCTAGGATTACAGGTGTGAGGCACTGGGGCTCAACTCTCCCTTCTTTTAACAGCTTTCTAGAGCTGTAAGTCACATGCTGCGTACAGTTCCATGGTTTTTGTGTCTGTAGAGTTGTACAACCACCGATGCGACCCATTGCCTCAGAAATGCTGCCTGCGCAGCCCTCTCCTCTCCCTCCCCTGGGCCCCATCTGCACAGACCTGTCTCTACCATCTTCCTTCTGGGGAGGGCACGTGTGTCCCGTCCGTCTCCCCCCCCCCCATCCCTCCCATCATCACCCTTACAGGCGCGCAGCAGGACCTCTGTGCCCAGAGCTTTCAGGCTTCAGCACAAACAGCATTTCCTCTCTAACCCAAGGCTTTGAAGTCATGAAGCGAATACAACCCACGCCATCACTGAGGCAGCTGGGGCCTCCTGAGCAAAGACTCCTTCACAAGCAGAGGCTAGACAAACGATGGGCATGCCCAGATAGAGACCAAGGAAGAAATTCACAGCTATAAACAATGGTCACAGTCACAGAGGCTAGACAAACGATGCACGTGCCCAGATCAAGTCCAAGGAAGAAATTCACAGCTATAAACAACGGTCACAGTCATGAGCTTTTCTGTGGCTTTGATGGCAGTAAGACAGAAACTTCCAGATGCATGGGAGCTGGGCAGAAGGGTCACTGTGGGCGGGGTGGGGGTGGAGATGGCTTCCCAGCATGCATCAAAGGCCTGAAATGTCTGTGTTATGAGAATTTTGCCCAAGGAAAATGTCATGAATGTGTGCAAATACTCAGCCACAAAGGATGGCCATCACAGGACAGATCAGACTGTTTGGTATAATCTAATTAAAGACAGCCCAACAGGAGACTACTGTATGGTCATCAAGAACCGAGTCACATCTGGGCATGGTAGTGCATGCCTGTAGTGCACTTGGAAGGCTGGGGTAGGAGGATTGTTGGTTTAGGCCAGTCTGCACAACACAGTGAGACAAGACACAAAATCACAGCACAGAAGGACAGGACAGGAGCTGTGAGCTCCCGGAGTGCCCGGCTGGCAGAGGGGAGAATCTTCAAGCATCTTGCTACCACAACATAGAAGTTTAATAGTTAAGCAAGTCTGCTGGCTAGTGATACACAGGACAGGAGGGAGGAGGGGGAAGGGCAGCGTGCAGCCGTGGCCTAGAGGCTGGGAGGCACAGTGCTCTGAAAACCCTGCTACCACCCTGGGGCCCACAGGACCTGGAGCCCTGTTTTCTTGCTTTTATTTTGTGTGTTGGCTCTGGGGCTTGAACTCAAGAGTCTGGGTGCTGTCCCTGAGCTTTTTTTGCTCAAGGCTAACATTCTAGCACTTGAGCCACGGCTTCACTTCTGGGTGGCTTGTGAGTGTATGTGTATGTGTGTGTCTGTGTGTGTTTGTGTGTATGTGTGTCTGTATGTGTATGTGTGTGTCTGTATGTGTTTGTGTGTGTCTGTATGTGTATGTGTGTGTCTGTGTTTGTCTGTGTGTCTGTGTGTGTGTGTATGTTTTGGGAGGGACGTGTTAATTGGAGATAAGGGTCTCATAGACTTTCCTCTCTAGCTGGCTTTGAACCGCGGTCCTCAGATCTCAGCCTCCTGATCAGTGAGGATTACCGGCGTGAGCCACTAGCCTGGCTGGAAGCCGTTTCATACTCACTCTTTCTGGGACAGTCACACTATGTAGCAAAGGCTGGCCTGGAACTTGTGCTCCTCCAGCCTCAGATGGCCAGTGCTGGGATCATGGGTGTGCACCGCCGTGCTTGGCCAGGCTTACTCTTTACAACAGGGCGTCTGCAGGGGTGGGAACAAATTGCACCGATTCCTGTCTCCTGATTCTTGAGTGATTATAGGGGCACTGTCATCTCTCCGGAAAGGCAGCTGTGACCTCAACCCATGAACGATGGCAAAAGAATCCGGGGAGGACAAACACGTGTGCAAGCGTGCCTCTGAATTCCAGGGTGGCCTCATGACAGTAGCGCACCGCCCCCCCCCCCCCCCCCCCCGGCTGTGAGGCGGAGCGGGGCTGGGCGAGAGTAGGCGGGCAGCCCTCCAGTTCCTGCCCCAGCTTGCCAGGGGTGGGGGTGGAGTAAGGGCTCCCAGGAGCCCCGAGAAGCGGTGCTGCCGAGCCGGCTCCTGCTGTCTTGGTCTCCCTGAGCCCCCTCCTCCTGGCCCTGCCTGGCAGAGGGACCAGCGCTGCCCAGGGACACGTCTTCTGAGGAGCCAATGGGCAGGGGTGCCTTTGCCAGGTCTGTGTGAGGAAAACAGGCCGGTGACACTTCCTAGAACCAGAGCTGCACAATGTGGTCCAGGGTCTAGCTCCACAGTTACTTGACCAACCTCCCCACCTCCCTCCCTCTCTTTCCATTTCTTTCTTCCTTCCTTTCTGTGCCAATTGTGGGGTTTGAACTCAGGGCCTGGGTGTTGTCCCTGAGCTTTTTTCTTCAATGCTAGTGCTCTACCACTTGAGCCACAGCTCAACTTCCAGCTTTTTTGATAGTTTATTGGAGATAAGAGTCTCATGGGCTTTCCTGCCCAGGCTGGCTTTGAACCACTATCTTTAGATCTCAGCCTCCTGAGTAGCTATTGTTATAAGCGTGAACCACTGGCACCTTGCTCCCAGTGACTTCATGGAGACAAAAAGGGATCTTCCTGCCTACATCCAAAGTGTCAGTGAGAGGCAGCCACAGGACAAGGGAGTAGTGACACGGTGCTTGGTGCACAAGGACACAAGCAGCGGGGGCGGCATGAGGGCGGCGCTGCTGTGGGAAGCCTGAGGCCCACTGAGAGGCAGTGCCGGGTGTGTGTGTGGGGGCATCATTTTGTTTTTCTCTTTCCAGTCCTGGGGTTTGAGCTCAGGGCCTGGGCACTGTCCTTGAGCTTCTCTTGCTCAAGGCTAGCACTGTACCACTTGAGCCACAGTGCCACTTCTGGCCTTTTCTGTGTATGTGGTACTGAGGAATTGAACCCAGAACTTCATGCATGTGAGGCACGCACTTCACCACTGAGCCACCTTCCCAGCCTCTGGGCATTATTAAAAAAAAATTTTTTTTTTTTGGTCGTGGGTCTTGAACTTTGGGCCTGAGCGCTGTCCTTCAGCTCTTCAGCTCAAGGCAAACGCTCTACCACTTGAGTTACAGTACCACTTCCAGTTTTCTGGTGGTTAACTGGAGATAAGAGTCTCATAGACTTTCCTGCCTGGGCTGGTTTTGAACTGCAATTCTCAGAACCTCCTGAGTAGCTAGGATTATAGATGTTAGCCACTGTTGCCTGGCTCCTGGGCATGATTTTTAAGCTAATGATGTAGTTGGGGCAAGAAGCTACAATTGGAATTACCAAGACAAGAGGGACCGGGCAGGTGCTGACAGGCCCCTGGCTGGCGGGAGCTGTGACTTGGCACGTGTGCTCCTGCCTCAGGGGCCTCGGCCAGGATGGCGCAGACAGGTACGTATGCTGCAGGTGAGCAACCCAAACAGATCACTGAGTGACTCAGAAGGTAGGCTGGGGAGGGGGACTACGGGAAGAAAGACAGACACCTGACTTTAAGCCATGCTACTGTTCTAAGGCACAACACCTGCCCCCCCAATTCTGAATGCATGTAAATATGAGTTTTTTGACTTATAAAATTATATGCCATACAATTTTTCCTCCTCCTCTTCTCCTCTTTCTTATGTTTTCTGGTACTAGGGTTTGAACTTAAGGCTTTGTGTTTGCCAGGCTCTACCACTAAGCCACTCTACCAGCTGTTTTTGTATGCCCAGGCTGGACTGGACTGCGATCCTCCTATTTGTGCTTCCCACCATCACTGGGGAGCCTAAACCCACCCATTCACGCAATGACTAGGGAGAAGGTAGCTTTTTTTTTTTTTTGTCAGTCATGGGGCTTGAACTCTGGGCCTGGGCGCTGTCCCTCAGCTCTTCAGCTCAAGGCGAGCATTCTATCACTTGGGCTACAGCACCACTTCCAGTTTTCTGGTGGTTTATTGGAGATAAGAGTCTCATGGACTTTCCTGCCTGGGCCGGCTTTGAACCTTGATCCTCAGATCTCAGCCTCCGGAGTAGCTAGGATTACAGGCGTGAGCCACCAGCGCCCGGCTAGGTGGGGTCTTTATGTTAGCACTTTCTAACCCTAAAGACCTGCAGAGCAGGCGTTGAC